AAAGAATCCTAGCTATTGCCGCCACCTTCCTCATTCATTCCTTATTGTTCTTCATCGAGTCTAGAGCTTTTCTAGGTTTGATTCTTCAACAAGAGCAACGTTCATCAAACCGCCACCGCTTCCCTATCATAAAGTGTGGATCTTTGCTCTCTATAGAATTGGTTCTTCTTTGAGACTTCTTCAAGATACAATCCTCACTACAATCCCTTTTGTTTCATCGCCATAACCATAGCCATATAAACCATCTTTCACTTCCATTATTTATTATTTAAATAGCCTACCTATTTTACCTATACGTTTACCACCTTAATCATCTCTTTTGAGCCGTTCACTTGTGGATGTTGTTTGCTTTCTTCCTAGATCCACAATCAATTTGTTAAGGTACAAATGCCTTACATCATGAACATGTTGTTAAGGAGCTCACAAGGACTTGGCTTGGAAGCTTGTTCACAAATAGCCCATGCTTGTTAAGTAGCTCCACACTCAAGCTAGCTTGGAAGGAGACACATGCACGCCCAAGATGGAGCACATGACCAGCCATCATCCCATGCACAAGGTTGCACCACAAGGTTCCCTAGAACACCCATGTGTGTGCCATATGACCAGCCCCCATGTGCCTTGCATGTGGTCTAATTTAGGCACCAAGATGAAGAGCCCTCTCCCTATTTGGCCAAGCATCATCTCCCATCCAATTTGGCGCCAACATGAAGAGACACAAGAGCTATTCGGCCAAGGGTTATCACCCTCCATTTAAACTGAACCACATCTCTATTTTGTAATTAATTATATCTCTATAGGAAGGCACAAGGCTGGTTGAATCCCCTTGTAACCATTCGGCCATGCCTCTCCATTTCCTATAAATAGGTCATCATATTTCATTTGTAATCATACCTTTTTGATTCATATAAGTGAGAGCATTCTCTTTCTTAAGTCCTGGTGACTTTTATCGACTTATCAAATATTTTATACTTATGGCGTCAACCCCCTTTTTTACCTTGATACTTCTGGTTCCTAGTTCTTATAACTAGTGGGTCAAAGTCCTTAATACCACCCCTTGAAGAAGCAATATAAAGTATGGGTCTTTGCTCTCTATAGAATTGGTTCTTCTTTGAGACTTCTTCAAGATACAATCCTCACTACAATCCCTTTTGTTTCATCGCCATAACCATAGCCAAATAAACCATCTTTCGCTTCCATTATTTATTATTTAAATAGCCTACCTATTTCACCTATACGTTTACCACTTTAATCATCTCTTTTGAGCCATTCACTTGTGCAGGTTGTTTGCTTTCTTCCTATATCCACAATCAATTTGTTAAGGTACAAATGCCTTACATCATGAACATGTTGTTAAGGAGCTCACAAGGACTTGGCTTGGAAGCTTGTTCACAAATAGCCCATGCTTGTTAACTAGCTCCACACTCAAGCTAGCTTGGAAGGAGACACATGCACGCCCAAGATGGAGCACATGACCAACCATCATCCCATGCACAAGGCTGCACCACAAGGTTCCCTAGAACACCCATGTGCGTGCCATATGACCAGCCCCCATGTGCCTTACATGTTGTCTAATTTAGGCGCCAAGATGAAGAGCCCTCTCCCTATTTGGCCAAGCATCATCTCCCATCCAATTTGGCGCCAACATGAAGAGACACAAGAGCTATTTGGCCAAGGGTTATCACCCTCCATTTAAACTAAACCATCATCTCTATTTTGTAATTAATTATGTCTCTATAAGAAGGCACAAGGCTGGCTGAATCCCCTTGTAACCATTCGGCCATGCCTATCCATTTCCTATAAATAGGAAAACATACATAATTTGTAATCAGACCTTTTGATCAATATAAGTGAGATTATTCTCTTCCTTAAGTCCTGGGGACTTTTATCGACTTATCAAGTATTTTATACTTGTGGCGTCAACCCCTTTTCACCTTGATACTTCTGGTTCATAGTTCTTATAACTAGTGGGTCAAAGTCCTTAATACCATCACTTGAAGAAGCAATATAAAGTCTGGGTCTTTGCTCTCTATAGCATTGGTTCTTCTTTGAGACTTCTTCAAGATACAATCCTCACTACCATCCCTTTTGTTTCATCGCCATAACCATAGCCATATAAACCATCTTTCACTTCCATTATTTATTATTTAAATAGCCTACCTATTTCACCTATACGTTTACCACCTTAATAATCTCTTTTGAGCCATTCACTTGTGCAGGTTGTTTTCTTTCTTCCTAGATCCACAATCAATTTGTTAAGGTACAAATGCCTTACATCATGAACATGTTGTTAAGGAGCTCACAAGGACTTGGCTTGGAAGCTTATTCACAAACAGTCCATGCTTGTTAACTAGCTCCACACTCAAGCTAGCTTGGAAGGAGACACATGCACGCCCAAGATGGAGAACATGACCAACCATCATCCGGGCACAAGGCTGTACCACAAGGTTCCCTAGAACACCCATGTGCGTGCCATATGACCAGCCCCTATGTGCCTTGCATGTGGTCTAATTTAGGCGCCAAGATGAAGAGCCCTCTCCCTATTTGGCCAAGCATCATGATACGATCACGGTCGGACCTCGTCGATCGATTGTGGATCTAGGAAGGAAGCGAAACAACCTGCATAAGATAAACATAAGAAACGGATAGTTTACGGTGGTAAATGTGATGGTAAATGGTCGGTTTAAGAGATAGTAGCGGAAGACTCGGATTTGGTAATAATATGGATAACGAATTATGGGATGGTGAAACGATAGTATCTTAAAGAAGACTCAAAGAAGAACCGATGTTAGAGAACAACGACCCAAATTTATATTGCTTCGATAAGGGATGGTAAATCGGACTTTGACCCGCTAGTTATAAGAACTAGGAACCATAAGTATCAAGGTGATAGTAATGACGCCACAAGTAACGAGTTACTTGATAAGTCGATAAAAGTCACGAAGGACTCAATTAGAGAAAACTCTCACAATTTCATTAAAACAAAGTCTGTCATTACAATGCAATATGAAGTCCATTTTATAGGACTTGGAATACAAAGCTGAAAATGATAATATGCATGGCCTAGTCGTGCTTGATGATGTGGCAACCTTTAACATATAATTCAAAAGTGTTTTAAGCACAATTATAATGCTTAAATTCGGTCAAATGGAGAAGTGAAATGCCTTGGCCGAATTTCCTTCAATGGTGGTGTAGTGGAGACAAGTAATATTCCAAGCACATGGGCTGTTTGAGTGCCTTATTCCCTCACGCACATGGGATGTCTCTAAATGCAATTGTGTGAATGTTTTCTATCAGCAAGTGCACGTGGTTTGTCTTTATCCTATGCCCAAGTAAGTGGAAATATAATAAGGACAAGTGGGATGCATTTTCCAGCTCATTTGATTCTCCAAAGATGTTTCATGAATCTGCCCAGCTTTTTTTACGTGATTTGGTGAGTTGGAAATGCTGGATATTTCTCCATTAAAAACCGTGCATCATGGGGCATGTGCTTGATGTTCCCTTGATGAATTGTTTATGTCTTAAATGCTGAACATGCTGCCAAATCCTTTGAATTGTTTATGATGCCCATATTGTCATGTCTTGTGCTGGAATTGTTTGAAAGTAATGCTCCAATATTCTGCCAAATAGGTTCCATAATATAATAGCTTGTTGCCGTGTATTTGTGCTGGAAATGTGTTAGAAAGCTCTTCAAAAACCGTCCAGCATGGGCATGCCCTATAAGTGCAAGAATAAACAAGTATTATAATGATATAGTGCTCAAACACTTGCTGCCATGTATGACCTTGTGTTTTGTGAAACCATGTGCATGTTTATTAACTATATTAACCACACGTGAAGATGCTGGATGTAAATATGAGTGCAATGTACTGTCAATTAAATATGAATGCAATTGATGAACTTCATAAAGGATATGTTGTTTAATACGTGAACAGTGTTGAATGCAATGAACAACATAAATGCTATGCAATCATATGGAAGTAACAACATGAAAAACACGTGAAAACTATAAGTATTAAAAATGAATGCATGGATTTACATGAAACATGTTAATATGATAATGCTAATGAGCTAATCAAATGATTAAATATGAATGCAAATGATTTGCACTATGATATGTTTATTGTGTGAACAACACGTGAACTTAGTTGAAAACCTAGGAACTAAGATGAATGCACATTAGTTATATATATGATGTGTATGCTGTTTATGGAAACATGCTACATAACACGTGAACATTTTAAATGCTAAGATGAAATGCAAAACTAATATGATACAATAATATGCTTGACATGAATGATGATTGAACGAAAATGTGAAACATGATATGCAAAGCTACTCTAACATACTAAACAACTTAATTACTAATATGCAATGTAATGCATAAATAAGTAAATAAGTAATAAAGTAAGGAATTACTCCCTTAGAGTTAATAAGGTAGAACGTCCTTGAGGGGTTTTCGTCATGGAGAAAACCGGCCCTAAACGTGCTCACATCATCCTCCCTTTCTTTTTGGCGATTTGTCCTCAAATCGAAATGATTTCTCATTGAAGACCTTCTTGATGTAGGATGGATGGAATCCTCATACCTTTCTCCAATGGTCAACCTCTTGACTTCATATTTGGTAACTTCATATTTCCTTGAATCATCATGAGGATGGTGGGATAGTTTTTCCTTCAAATCGTTTATTTGCAAATTGGAGAGTGGCAATTTCTTATCAAGATTGCAAAGATACTTATCCTCGCAACTCAATACATCAATTCCACGTTTTTGTATCGTCCCTCCAAATAGTAAATAAAAGTTAGTAGGTAAATCAATAACAAAAGAGTTAGAAAGATTAAACCTTGGATGATACTTGATGATATCATTGGGTACCACTTCCTTCTTTGAAACATGATGATGCTCGATCATCAATGTGTTTGACATGTTTCTGGAAGTACTCTTCACGTCATCCTGCAACAATGAAAATTCAAGAATAGAAGAAGAATTGTTAGGGGTGTTAGTGCAAATTGAAATTTGACACTCTTTTTCTTTTGCACAAACAATTTCTTTTTCAAGCTCTTTATTTTCACTCTCGTTCTCACTTTGGACTCCAACATTTCTCTCATCAATTTTTCTATTGCTCTCAATGTCGGTTTCAACTTTCACTTCTTCTTTTTTTTTGCAAACACTTTCTTTTTGTAGTTGTTCTTGCAATTGTGTTTCTTTGACGAAATTGTCAACACACTTTTGAAGACAAGATAGACTTTCGGGATTAAAACATGCAAAATTCCTTGGCTCTCTTCTCGTTGAACTTTTGACATTTCTTCTTGTTAGAAAATTGGAATCCTCCTGGTAAGATCTTCTGCTACAATTGGGTATAGAACTAGAACAGGATTGAGTGTCGTCTCTCCTCTTGATTTCGCCTCTGATCTTCGGCGGAGGTGTTTGTGAACAAGAACGTTTTTCGATTATACGATCCATCGTCTTTATGATTGGGTTGAGATTTTCTTTGAGCAAACTCCTCAATTCTCGACTGAAATCTTGAAATTGAGAATTTGATAAAAAATCTCGTTCGTTATCTCCTGTATAATCATTTGGTCTTGTGTACTTTCGAGACATAATGAAAAGAAATAGGTTAATAAAAATCAAAATAAATGTCACTAACATAAAAAGAATCTCACCAATACACTCCAAAGAAAACTTTGAATGTCGCTCAACACTCTTGTTTAACTCGGGATGGCTTTTTACCCTTGGTGTTCACTCTTGCCTTTTACCGCTCAATTCTCTTTATTTCAAGTCCTAAAATGACTTTACTCAAAACCGTATCAAGTAGATTTTACTCGATGTGCGTCGGCTACAAAAAAGGTTAGTAGGAATGGAAAACAAAAATATACAAAGGTGTCTTAGAAATAGAAAGAAAAAAAATGTTACTTACACACGTTACTTCACAACCTTTCTATCACCACAATCAATCAAAGGCTTTCTTTGAATGGCTCGGTGATAAACTTGTTGATGAATGCTTCGACTTCTCTTTCTTTTGCTGATTTTCGATTTTTTTTCACTTGCAACTTTCTTGAACTTCTTTTTGTATTTTTTTTTGTATTTTCGTTGACGTTGCTTCTTCCACCAAAAGATATGATTACCGCAAGATACGATAATCTCGCTTGATGTACGGTGCTTCTTCCAACTAGCTCTGATACCAAATGATACGATCAGATCTTCCTTATCGAATTATTGTGGATATAGGAAAGAAGCAAAACAACCTGCATAAAATAAATGGTAACAAATGGATAGTTTAAGGTGGTAAATGTTATGGTAAATGGTCGTTTTAAGGGATGGTAGCGGAAGATGTTTGGTTGTGGTTATGAAATGGTTTACGAATTAACGGAATGGTAAATATGATAGTATCTTAAGGAAGACTCAAAGAAGAACCAATGTTAAAGAACAAAGACCCAGACTTTATATTGCTCCAATAAGGGATGGTAAATAAGGAATGGATAGTATCTTAGAATAACCAAGGAAGAACCAGTGCTATAAAGAGCAAAGACCCAGCCTTACAAATCATTCTAAGGGGTGGTAACAAGGAATTTGACCCACTATCTATATAGAGATAGGAACCAGAATTATCATAATGAAAGGAATTGACGCCACAAGTAACAAGTTACTTGTTTGGTCGATAAAAAGTCACAAGGACTTAAACAAGAGAATAATCTCACTTAATTCATCATAATGAGCTCTCTTCTAATGCAATATGAAAGCCTATTTATAGGACTTAGAAGTGTTTGGCCGAATTCTTCAAGTTGTTGCTAAGTGGAGACAAGCATCTTGCTTTGTTGGCATGGACATGGGCTGTTTTGTAGTGCAATTTCGTGTAGGACGTGCAGCAGCAATTTGGGAGTGTATTGTCTTCATTTAAAGCTTAATTTGAGTAGATAATTAACAAAACAAGGGCTGGTGGTGTTGAGTTGTCATTTGTGCACTTCCAGCCGAAATTCCCTACACAAGCTGCCCCACAATCTGTCATGAGTTGTTGGTGAGTTGTCATGTTTCCTTAATGCTCCAACAAGCTGCCAATTGTGTGTAATGCTCCAATAAACCTTGCTGCCATGTTTGTGAGCTGGATGTGTCTTCTAAGGGCTCCACTAGACTGTCCTAACATGTGGCATGTTCTCCATTAAGGCCTCTCAAGCATAAGTCCCTTGAAGGAGATGAATAGCTACAAATCCCGTACTTATTTCCAGCCTGCACTGTCTTCAGTAATTTGGCCATATCTCGAGCTCCACATATCAGATTGATTTGATTCAAAGTGTGTTGGAAAGCTAAGAGATAGTGAAAAAAATGTTAAGAAGACTTTATCACCCAAATATGCTTGGAACATGTGCAGAAATGGCGATCAATATGGGTGACGTGATCTGTCCACTGGATAAAATAGGTGCACTGCCATATCCTTTACATTTAACATGCAAATGTATGCATAAATGAGTAAATATATTATAAAATAAGGAATAACTTCCTTATAATCAACAAGGTAGAACGTCCATGATGTGATAAAATAATGGATAAAACTGGTGCTAGTCAGGATCACATCACATCATCTCCTATCCAATTTGGCGCCAACATGAAGGGACACAAGAGCTATTCGGCCAAGGGTTATCACCCTCCATTTAAACTGAACCATCATCTCTATTTTGTAATTAATCATGTCTCTATAGGAAGGCACAAGGCTGGCTGAATCCCCTTGTAACCATTCGGCCATGCCTCTCCATTTCCTATAAATAGGAAAGCATACATCATTTGTAATCAGACCTTAAGTCCTTGTGACTTTTAATGACTTATCAAGTATTTTATACTTGTGGCGTCAACCCGTTTTCACTTTGATACTTCTGGTTCCTAGTTCTTATAACTAGTGAGTCAAAGTCCTTAACAGCACCCCTTGAAGAAGAAATATAAAGTATGGTTCTTTGCTCTCTATAGCATTGGTTCTTCTTTGAGACTTCTTCAAGATACTATCCTCACTACCATCCCTTTTGTTTCATCGCCATAATCATATCCATATCTACCATCTTCCGCTTCCATCATTTATTATTTAAATAGCCTACCTATTTCACCCATACGTTTTGATAGAAGGCATTTCTGCCTTATCGATTGATTGTAGATCTAGGAAGGAAGCAAAATAACCTACATAAACCTACATAAGATAACGGTAAGAAATATATAGTTTAAGGTGGTAATCAGGATGGTAAATGGTCGTATTAGATATGAGAGATGGTAGCGGAAGATATTTGGTTGTTGATGTGAAATGGATAACGAGATAATGGAATGGTGAAAATGATAGTATCTTAGAATAACCAAGAAAGAACCAGTGCTATAATGAGCAAAGACCCAGTCTTACAAACCGTTCTAAGGGGTGGTAATTTAGGACTTTGACCCACTATCTATAAGGAGATAGGAACCACAAGTATCAAGGTGAAAAGGAATGACGCCACAAGCATAAGCTTGATAAGTCGGGTTTGACGCCACAAGTAACAAGTTACTTGATAAGTCGATAAAAGTCACAAAGGACTCAATAAGAGAAAAACTCTCAAGTTTTAATTCAAATTCAATGTTGTCTTACAATGCAATATGAAGGTCCATTTTATAGGACTTGAAATACAAAGCTGAAAAATTATAATATGCATGGCCTAGTCGTGCTTGATGATGTGGCACATAACTAATCTTAATTTGAACATAATTTCATGCATGAAATCGATCAAATGTTGAGGAAGTGTGCTCTAGCCGAATGTTCCATTATGATTGGTTGAATGGTGCTTTGTTGATGTGGCAACCTTTAGCATATAATCCAAAAATATTTTGAGCTCAATATCATGCATAAATTCGGCCAAAGGTGGGAGTAGTGAGTCTTGGCCGGATTCTTCAAGTTGGTGGAACAAACACCTTGCTTTGTCATGCACATGGGCTGTCTAGTGGAGATAAGCATTATGCACATGGGTTGTTTCTTTAGTGCAGTTATGTGTAGAATTTGTAGCATCAATTGGCGTGTAATGTCTCCATTATAAGCTTAACTAAGTGGGATTATATTTAACAAAGACAAGTTGGTGGTGATCTTAGTTGGTGTGGTGTAATTCCAGCAAATTAATTCTCCAAAGTTGTTCCACGATCTGCCTTAAATTGCTGAATGGTTTTGGTGAGTTGTACTTGCTCCTTAATGCTCAACAAGCTACCAAAATGTGCCATACTTTAATACCCATTGTTGCCGTGTTTTGTGAGCTGAAAAAGCTCCACTAAAATCGTCCATTATGGGCATATCTCTTGATGTTCCTACAAGTGCAAATAAACAAGTATATTAAAGATATGGTGCTATTTATAAAACAATATACTTGCATGTGCTTAAAATGGTGAGCTTTGACTTCATGTTTATTATCTTGAAACAACATCACCTACACGTGAAAAAATGCTAAAAGTAATTACTAATGCAATAAACTACACAATGATATGTTTGTCATGTGAATCAACACGTGAAAGTTACAAGTATTAAAATGAATGCATGGAATCACACGAATGTATGTTTGCTTATTATTTAAATATGCTTAGATGGATGCAAATGCAAATATAACAATGATATGCATGTCGGGTGAATGTTTAAACAACATGTGAACTTATTTTAAAACCTAGGAACTAAGATGAATGCAAATTAGCTACATGAATGATATGTATGATGTTTATTGAAATATGCTTGAATGCGTAGCACGTGAACATCTTAAATGCTAAGATGAAATGCAAAACTAATATGAGATAATAACATACTTGAAATGATTTATTGAACTAATTAAAAACCTGATATGCATAACTATTCTAACATGACATCTAATGCATAAATAAGTAAATAGATAATAAAATAAGGAAGAACTCCCTTAGAGTTAACAAGGTAGAATGTTCTTGAAGTGATCATGTGTTGAAAAAGTTTGGTCCTTGGCATGATCACATCATCCTCCCTTTCTTTAGAGCGATTTGTCCTCAAATCGAAGTAGTTTCTTATTGAAGACCTTCTTGATATAGGAGAGATTGGATCTTCATGCTTCTCCCCAATGGATGATCCACTCAAATTGTCCAACCTCTTGCCTTCAAATGTGATATCTTTGCGTACTTCAATGAGGAGACACAATGTTAGTTTCACACCGTCGTGGTGGATGGATTTGTTGTACCAATCAAACTCAAAATGACAAATATTCTTATCATCATAAATTGGTTGGATAACACCACTTAAGTGAATTAAATTGCTGTAAAATAAATCAAAGTTAGTGAATGAAAAACTATTAACACAATGAATAGAACTAGCAAACCATGCTGGATGTTTAATGGGAGTTGGTTGTTGCATTGTTTTCATGATTGGCAATACACTTGGAAGGTCAGTGAACAAAACTTTTGGCACTTCAAGTGACGTTTCTTTTGGAACATCGAATTGTGTTTTCTTTGAATCTTTATCTTGAAGTGATATGTATCTTGGACTGTCCTATAAAACAAAAGAATTAATTGGAAGAAAAGAGTTGTTAGGTAAATCATGCTGTCCATTATCCCTTTCCTTTCCCATGTTTTTCGTATCAATCTAATTTTCCTCTTGTTCTACTTGTTGTTCTTGCAAGACTTCTCTAACAGTTTCATTTACAGTGGTTCTTATCTCCTCAAAACGTTTTTCTTCAAGGGTTCTTTTCATGGCCTTCTTTTCTTTCTCTCATTCTTCTACTCGTGACTTAAGGATCACTTGGCATTCTTGGACTTGATTTAGAAGCATAGGCGCCAATATGATCTTTTTTCCTTGATGTTGGAAAGAATACTTGTTAGAAAGAATACTTGTTGGAAAATCTATCATAAGTAGCCTTGTCAAATTGCCAATGACTCCTAATATAATGTGGCTTGCACTCATGGGTACCACATCACAAAGAACTTCATCATTGTATATTCCAATCGAAAAAGAAATAACAACTTGTTTGGTTACCTTGGCTTCTCCCACATCATTGAGCCACTAAAATTTGTAGGGATGAGGATGTTTAGACGTTTTTAAGCCCAATTTTTCCACTGTGTAAGTGCTTGCAACGTTTGATGTGATCATGCCAAGGACCAAACTTTTTCAACACATGATCACTTCACGTTTACCACTCTTCACCCTCTCTTTTGAGTCATTCACTTGTGCAG